GGGATGGATGGAGGGATGGACACTGGGAAGAGGTAACTATGGGGAGGAAGTGGGAGGGGAGCTGTTGCATTGTAAATTTTGGTCAATGACGTGAGACAAAGTATATGTGAACTGCTGTATGAAAAGTGAATTTACTCTGTAAATCTTCACCCAAATCAAAAGAAAAAAAAAGTTAAAAGCAGAGCTTCAGCAGAACAGAGGGAGATGACCCATTTTGTGTCTCTCTACTCCCATCTCGACTTGACTTGACCTCTGCCACTGGGAGGTCCCACTTCAGTCTAAACAGCTGGCAGGCCTCCCTATGGCTAAAGGGTACCTTGGCAGGCATGTTTTCTGAGTAGATGTGTAGCTTTGACCCTCCTCTTCTGCTTTATTCCAGGTGGAACTTGGTGCTCCAGGCTTCCCCCCTCAGCTCCTGAACTCCTTTATCAAACAGCAGCCACTGGTTATAGCCAGACTGGCTTCCTTTCTCAGTAGTTAGCATCTTGCCATCAAGATGCTCCTTCTGAGATGCAGGCCCAGGACACTTCGGAGAAGATGCTGTTGCAGTTCCTTGTTACTTTCTGTACCCTGATGTAAGATCTGAGGCAGCATGCTGTGGCTGATGAGACAGACAGCACTCAGCCCAGCCTTGCCCGCAAAGCCCAATCAGTATTTGGTCACAGCTGGCCGCCACTGCAGAACAAGGGGTCTGAGCTCCTGGCCATCCAGGGTGAATGAAGCTCAGTTCACCCTTTGAATTCCCCACCTTTATTTCATCTCTGGGACCTCATGGCAGTCAGCTGTTGAAGGCCCAGGATCAGGTACAGCCAGCAGAGCTGAGGCCTGTGTACTCTGGCTTGCCTTGGCCTACAGAGAATGCAAGCAACCGTTGGCCAACTCTTCAAATATGCCTCTAGAGTTAAGTTTGACTGTGGGATAGGGTGTTAGAAAATACTAGAACAGAAAAAGGGTTAAAAAAAAAACAACAACCCAGCTGCACAAACTAGAAAATGGATTCAGAATCTTTTGTCCTTCAATTTTTGCAAAATGCTTTGTTTTTGTTTTCTTTTTCCTTCTTCCTTCCCCTCATAGGAGAGGACATTTGGGCCTCTGCCTCAGTCAGCTGAGCAGTGCTGTGTTACAGAGCCACCGCTCTAGAGCTCAGTAACACGGGAAGGGGCCATCTGGACTAATGTAGCACTGAAAAGCAGGCTGGACAGACTGGGGGGCCAGGGCAGGGACCCAGCTCTTTTGAGAACTGAGGCAAGGGAAGCCAGATGCTGGCTACTAACAATGCAAGAGGAAGTTCAGAGATTAAAAATCATCCTTTGAAGATGGGGGAGAAGATAAATGGAGCTCCTGGGAGGTAATTTGTTAGGAGGCAGCTCAGCTCTGCACCTTTCCTCTCCTCGTTCATAGGCTCCGTGCCAGCTGCCAGGGGGTCTCTTGAGCCATTGAGGCTGCTGCAGACTCGTCTTCAGTTCTGGTGCCAGAATCTTTGGTGGAAAGAGGGTGCCATGTGGGGACTAAGATGTGGTAAAAGTGATTTTCTGTATAGTGCAGCAGAGATTTATTTTTCTAAAAGTGTTTTGCAGGTTTTATTTTTTTCCCTGTGACCTCAGATTAAGTTATTTACATATTGATTGAAGGACTGACTTTTAAATTGCTTTTCAACTTTTATTTATTTATTTATTTTTTTTTGGTAATACTGATATACTTAACACCCTATTTATGTACTCCCCACCTCTCTTCATATATAAATGACTTTTATAAGACTTTTGACCAAAAAAGTCAGAACACTGGAAAATTAAGTCTTATGTGTACTTTTACCTACTGAAGACTGCCTCAGGGTACCCCCCAGTGTGCCGTCTGAGCTCAGCCAAATTCAGCCTAGAGATCCTAATGGCAGTGTTTACCCTAGTGGCCCAGTTTCAAGCATGTGCTGAGTGGCTTCCCTAAGCTTGCTCAGCACCGCTTCGCACTGGTAATGAACAACCAGATTAGCTGCCCAACTGTGTGGCATAATAGGAAGGTTCCAGAGCAATTGCTGCAATACCTAATGGTGACCACAGGCCCCTGGAAGATCATGTATCGGAATCTGAATGTATGGTAACTGAGAGCCGATCTTATACCCTTTCTGGAGGAGCCACACTGCAGACCTCAACCTAAATGTTAACTGAGGCTGATCTTGTAGCAAAATGCTAAAATATGAAAGGTGATCCAGGGACCCTGCCCGAACTGATCCACAATGAACTCAGATTTTAGATAGATGGTTCTGAAATCAACTGAAGGACTTGTTACCACACACAATGCTGGGTCCCACCACTGGAGTTTCTGGGGCCCAAGTATTTATATTTCTAACAACAAGTTCCCACATGACGCTGATGCTGCTTGTCTGAGGACATTTTGAAAACCAGTGGTAGACAGTAAAGAGCAAATACATAAAATGGAATCTAATTTATTGACTAGTTGAACTTTGTAGGAGGAGTATCAAAGCATTAGCTGCCTGTCTCCTTAATTCTTAAAAGTATTTCACTGCTTAGAGTAGGCAGCTAGCAGGAAGGCTCCTGAATTCGGAGAGAGTTCATTTCCATTCATGGTCCCAGGAATTTTTTTTTAACTTGGCAGGCTTTAAGCCTAGGCTGTGGAGCAGCTCTTCAACGGCAGCATCCTTGTGGCTAAATGTTTTCCTCCCCACTCACTTGCCTGGCCCATCTCACACCTCAGCTGTGTCACCTGGAACAAATTAAAGTAGCCACCAGGTTGTTGCTTACCCCTGGGCCTTACCAGCTTCCTGTGGTGATGCTTAGTTCAACCGCACTTAATGCTTTTTGATTCGTAGGCATTCAAAATGTTCTGAGTTTGCTGTAGTGTAAGTTGGATTTAAAGGGCATAAGGAAAGGGCCTTGAAAATGAAGAGATTAGAAGAAGAGTCAAATGCAGAAATTTGTTAAAAACGAGTAGGAAGAGTCTGAAGAAAGGCATGGTCTGACTGGGTAGGCATTGGGACACCCAGGAGCAAGCAGCACAGTCACAAAGTGGTGGTTGAGAAATACTCCCATTCTTTCTTTAGTGTGATGGGATTTACTGCAAGTGAGGGCTCCCCGCTGATCCTCCAGCTTTGCTGTGGTCACATAAGAGGATCCCTTTTGGCCTAGAGAATCTTAACCTTCCTTGGGTCAGAGTCCTCTTCCCCCAAGAGATATGCAGAAATATGTACAAACAAGATTTGCAAGCCACTTCAACAGGTTCACTGACTGCCCTCCACGTCCCCAAACAGAGCCGGAATCTCTGTACACGCTGTCAAAATACAAAAAGAACGAATTTTAAAGGAATGAACTTAATGCATATTATAAGAGTAATGTGATTTCATTTGCTTGTTTAGTCAAAATCAGTTGTTCATTTAGAGATAGGATCTTGACAAATGACTTTAATCATGAAGTAGAATGCTTGAACTGAGCCAAATCAAAAGCCCCAAGAAAACCAGCATACCAAGACTGCAGTTTCAATAGGAAATATCTTTGTACATTATCCTGAACCTTCCTCCTGCAAATGAAAGGGCACACTGGGCCAGCTGCACAAAGTCAATACTATCAGAAGCAAATCCGACTGGCTCTCTGGCCTCAGGTCTCATGTACTGGAACGTGAGGCTGGGCAGCTCAGCCTGTGATCCACACAGCCAGGCATCAGAGCCCTACCTTTCCAATGTAGAATGAAAATAACATCAAGCCCTTGGAAAAGAAGAGGGTTTATTTTTAAAAGCTCTAATGGCCTGCCCTGTGCTTAGTCCTTGGATAGGAGATCTAAAGAGTTCCTACCTGTGAGGGGCTGAAGGTGGGGAAGTACAAGGGTAGAGGCAGGTTTCAGTCTGTGCCTCCTAGCCTCTCTGTTGTGCTGCCTTTTCAAGGAGATTGCTCCTCGTAGTAAGGAAACGTAGACCTCCCGGAATTCATGCTCTCTCAAATTATTTGCTTCTATCATGATTCTTCAAAACCACAAAGTTTAAAGAGATGCTGGGATAGCAGCAAGTAGGGCTTGAACTCTCCAAGAAGCCCATGTATGTCATTTAATATCGAAGTGATAAACGCCAACTCTTCTGCTCTGGGACTGGAGGCTCGGCTGTCCTTCCTCTAGGAACCTGGTCAGCAAGCCTGCAGTTGATGGTGGGGCAGCAAGCATCCACACGCTTCCTTCATATCTGAGCAGAAAATCTGATTACATCAGACACAGCTACTCCCTAATGTACACTCAGGGAAAGGCACCAGCAAGGGTCAGCAGTGGGCACTTGGAGTGGCACTGGGCTCTTGGGCCTCCTCCTGAGGCACAGTCAGGTGCGGTTCCCAGATTCTGGTGAGACGCCCAAGGCAGGGCCACCTCTCATCCTAGCTCTGGGCCAGCACAGTACCCCGGTTTGGCTGCATCAGCTCACAAGCTCTTAGCTGTGGTTCTGGCATGTGGGGCTCAGCTAGAAACAGGTTGCACAGAGTTGCTAATTCTTTAGAAAAGTCCTGGACCAAGAATAAGAAAAACGGAAGAGAAGGCAAACATGTAATTGTGGAAGGTTCATCCTTTCTACTAAAAAGCCCTCACTAACCAGTTGAGTAGACAGTCTAGCTATTACTTATACTGCCTTCTGCACTGAAATGGACTTGCAACTCTGTCCCAAAGCAGTGACAGGCAGCAAGAGTGTGCTCTGCTGGGAGACTAGGCTTCACTGTAACTGATGTGTGTGGACTCAAAATGGCTATGGTAACATCACTATCTACTGAGTACTTAGGTGCCACACCATCTTGTGCACATTGTAAGTGCCAAGCTTGGCACCAGTAAGTGCCAGCTGAGACTAAAATCTAGGTTATTCTAATTTAAGAAACCCATCCTCACTGTGCCATGATGCTTTCCAACCAACTGCCTGCCTTCCCTGTCTCCACTGAACTTCAGGGTGGTCCTTAAGGACACTTAGCTTTGAGAAGATCCTATGAATGGCAGGCCCCATCATTTGACCCCTTTTCTGGATAAAAGGTTATGTAAAAGACAGGACTCCTTACCCCTGGCCACTGAGCCTCATGGAGGCTGCCCAAGTAGGCCTCTATCTCTGTTTGTCCCATCAGACCCTTCTTGACTAGCTCTTGGAGCAAGAACAGCAGCAAGTCCCACTGCAAAACAAAGCAAGGGGAATGTTAGAGTTGTCAGAGAAGTACATCAAGACCCTGTCTTTAGGGGTGAGAGGGTGGGTGTAAGAACATGAATGCACAAGGCTAAGCTTTTCTGACTCTCCTTCCACCCTGCTCACTGACTCACATCTCTTGGCCGAGTGTCTGCCAGAAGCCCCACATTTCTTGGCCTCAGCAGCAGCTGTAGTGGAACCGGCACCTGAAAGTCGTCCTTCCAAAGGGAAAGCAGCTCCTGTAGGAGCCTTCGGGCCTGGCCCCTCTCCAGCCTGTGCTGTGCTGGGGCTCCAAGGACAGGAATTTGGTCTGCAACTGTGGGAAGAAAGGAAAG